AGCTTTTGCCGCGACTTCGTCCGCGTGGAATAGTGACTTCCGGCAGATTTTTGGTTCTTCCCACATAGTTCCCGTTCTTGTGGGGTTTTCGGAATGGTCGAGTTTCCGTAAAACTTTCAGGATAAAACCTATGTTTTTTTTAATTCACAATGAAGTACTCTTAACCAACAACATATTTATTTGTTTATTTGAATAAAGAATAATATTATTATGTTGATACAACTTAAACAAATTATTTCGACCGAATTAGGTACCATAAATAGGGTTTTTGTGAGTTAATCTTAAAAGATAGACATATACTGTCGCGAACTGTTTTTTAAATCATTAAAAGAGCTATTATTCTTTAATACATATTTTTTGTGTATCTTGAACCGTTTCCACGGCGCACGCAACGGAAGGCTTCAAAGATGAAATAATTTTTCCCGTTTTTTACACATTTACCACTATATCTTTGCTCCTTTTGGTCGTAGCGTGATGTTATATAGCCCACAGCCTTCCTCGATAACTGGACTATCCAACACAAAATTATTCAATTCGAACCAGTAGTTTCGGAGATTAGGGCTTTCAAACAAACAAACTTTTCAGCTTTATAATATTAGTATAGACTAACATGTCAGAACTTGCGTAATACCAAATACATACAATAATTATTGTAAGCAAATTATACGTACATTATGTACAATTTCTTAATAAACGTTGATTTTCGCTCATATGTATTTGTTGTTTTAAATAAACACCTAACATTACATATGTATGGTACAGAAAACATATGTACATATGCAAAAAGCCCGTTTTTCTTCATACAATGGATTATCCGGACTTTCAATTATCCGGATGCCTACCGACAACAATTAGTCCGGATAATCGAGGTCCTACTGTAATATATTTGACAGCTATGACTTAATGTTTGAGTTTACAGGTTTATGTCTGGTAGAAATATGTTACTACATATTTGACCAGTATGAGTTTCAGTTAGAGAAGTACAGGATTGTGTTTTATATTTGACGTGACTTACTGTTTGACCTATGATGTTTTACTCGACCATATGAACTTTCCTTTGCCTAACATTCTCTTCTTTGACATCGTAAATAATTTCTAATCTAGACTTAATAAGAAACCGTTTCAAACTGTGGTCAATTTTGTACATTTATTTTGTCAATGATGACAACTAGACTCTCTCAGTGCTTTCTTAAACCAAACATTATCTAAGTATCAAAATGACCAACCATCAGTAATTAATTACTTTGTTACAATCATTTGCTGTCTGTAAACTTTACTTTGTTATTTAACAATTACTTTGTTTTACGTGCAGCCTTTAAATGATTCACTAATACGTAGATAGACGGAGTTTTTTTTAATAAGGTTTAATTAGAAATTAGGACATATATATATGCTAACATTCAGATTTGCATAGTATCGAAATATACAAAACGCGAGTAATGATTCAGAAAAAACTGTCAACGCTACGTATTCAGTGAGACGATACAAACACTTGGTAAGCACATGGTTAGTTTTAAAATACAACCACTTATGCGTATGTGTGTACGTGTTATATGTTTAGTAAAGAATACAAAATCGTTTAAAATCGTCTTCGTTTCATTACTACCTGATGTCGGATTTTTAAATTTGTCATGGAGGATTAAGGAATACTAAGTTTAGTATCGAATAATAAGTTTATTAATATCATTTATTTAGATACAAGCGAAGGATATAAGGCAGCCTAAAGGTTATTAGTTTAGAGACTCATTAAAAAATTAATGAAATTCTATAGCCTGACAACAATTCAACAAAAAAAAACATAATTAGTGTTAAATGTATTTAAATAATAAATTAATAAAACTAGTAATTATATAATCATTATATAAAAAAAAACCCTGAGCAATTTTGCACAAAAGAAACATATAAAATTCACAAATTATTTCTGTGTTTGAAGTAAAATCCTGTTTTGTACACAACTACACAGATGGACTGTGATCCTTTCTTAATCACATAATATATTATTATATAAAACAAAATTACTTATTTAATATGTATGCATAAAGATTTTCTCGAAAACCATTTATCATAGTACAATATATATACAAATAAATACAATTGGAGTCTGTTTGTAATATTGAAATAACCGTTTTTTACATTCATATGTATACGGTACATACACCAAAATATCATTTTTTTTACAATTTTTGTCCGTCTGTCTGTTCGTTCCAGCTAATCTCTGAAACGGCTGGACTGATTGTGACGGGACTTTTACCCCCACGTAGCTGATATAAAAAGGAGTAACTTAGACTAATTTTAAGCCGATTCTGAAATGTTTTTCATTGTTTACTTTTTCTTACTTACTTCTTATTATTACGCAGACGAAGTCGCGGGTAATAGATAGTTTTGTTATAAGAATAATATTAGGTAAAGTTATGTTAATGCGTTACGATAAATTTATGCAGTTATAATTAAATTTTATAACATATAACAACAAAAAAGATCAAAATGTACTCGCATAAGTCGAATTCATAATGAACGGAAACAAAAAACTTAACTAATGTTTTTTAGTATTTTAAAGTTAAAATTAAATTACCATTAGTTATTTACAAGAACAATTCTATTCGACGATTAAAAAAACTAATAATATTACTGACAGTACAAAGTTTCCTATAAATATTAAATCATTAAATTATAATACTATTGAGTTAATGAAAAACGACGTTTTGTACGTATTTACTTTCACGTTGTAAGTTTGAAGTGAGGCACCGTTAGTAAGAATAAATCGAGGAGAGTTTTTTTAATGAAAAAAAGACAATTAAATTTACATATTTATAACATTTATAATAATTATATTTTAATAGTTTGATTATTTTTGTCATTTATATATTTGACATATATGTAATATATATGTATAGGTATAGATTATTCTTGATAGTATAAATAAAAAATGAGACTAGATATATATATAAAAAATATTAGATATTTGAATAGAAATCTCATTCGGAAAAAGGCAAAGCTGGACGCAACTAGTATAACTTATACTATTACTCAAGCGCTTATAAAACACACACACATATATACATATATATACTTTATTTATTTATACGGAAATTTGGTCAAAAATTAAGCACCTATTTTTTTTACATAATTCGAATGAGAATCATGTACCGAGTATTCTCTTAAAATATTGATAGTAATTCACCAGTCACCCTGTATATATTAAATTGTAAAATTTATTTATAATTTGTATTCATACAAAATTATAAACCCTCGCTTCCACAGAACATGTACCAAATGGGAAAAAAATAACAACACACATACACTTCATGTTCGAGGTCGGATAAAAAATAAGAGGAAAAAATTATGTTACAGAGAAGATATATGAGATTTAGAACAGGTTTCATACTGTAATATGTTAATATATGGATATAAAATAAAGTGGATGATAAAAAAAAACATTAATTAATACAAAAACCACTTGCTAATATATCATATACATAATCATCATCAGCCTATCAGAGCCCACTGCTGAGCTGACTCTTCTCACATGGAGAAGGTTTGAGCATTAATCACCACGCTTGCTCAAGACGTGTTGGCGATTTCAAATTATTCAACAAATATAATACGAAATTAAGAATAAAAATAAAAAGTTTCGACTAATACATATAGTTAAAATTAATTATATATAATTATTAAATACACTACAGCTCAAATGTTACCGCGACTGTATAATAAGGAAGTATAAGGTTCGAGTCCTTGTCTGTGCCTTTTAAAAATATTATCTTATTTTAAATGATTATTCATTACAATCCTTCGAATTATTATATATAAGTAATTAATACACAAAAAAATTCCTCAAGGTTGAATCAGAACATTCAAATATTTGATTTCATCAATATCAAATTTTATTGTGATTTAAATCGACTGTTTTTTTAAATGCTATTATAAAAATATATATAGTTAAAAGTAACAAAAGTTTCAATTTAATTTCTTATGATGGATCTCATAGGATATATTTTTTTTACATAATTGTAACGTTTGCTATAATGATTCTTCTTCTACCTGGCAATGTCTCAGCTATAGCCAGGGTCTGCCTTACATGTTGTGAATAGTTTTGGCTAATTGTTTTTACGACTTGCCGCCAGCCCATCAACCCTTCTTGGGAAGTTTGCTATAATGATTAGTTATTTTAATAAAAGGATCACACGTTTAAATTCAAATATAATGTTAAAAGTTTCACCGCTTTTTTCAGGCGTTTTTTCTTTAAACTAACGAACTTATTTAGTTTCGTAACCTTAACACGAGTTCGCAAGTTTAAATACGAGCCGTCTCACGTTTCTCATTCAATACTACGTTTCTTCAGTTCATAAATGAAAAACTGTTAACGCTACGTATGTAGTACAAATACGAAAACTTGTGGTACGCGTATTTATTTTGAAATAATTACTGATTACAAAATAATAATAAGATTATTCATTAGGCTTACCTAAGTTTTCCTGTTCAAATAAAGTAAAATGTAAAATAAAATTATATACATACATATCCATATAGCTGAGAATAAATTAATTTTAATTTTCAAGCTAAAAAATTATGGTACTATGATATAATCAATGCCTCTTATGTTATAAAACATTTTTTGAAGTCGGCTAAAAAATTTAATATTATCTGCATAAAAAACCTGTTACGCTCGTTTTCCAAGTGTCCCAAAAAAATAATTAAGTAACATTAGAACGTATCATACGTATACAATAATTATATTATCCAATATAATACATATATAACTATTATAAGCGATATTAAATAACAAAGAGATATAAAATTTCATAATAATGCACAATGTATATATATGTATATATTTTGTTATAATTCATTTATATAATACTTTTTTACTGACGTGACTGTAAAATACTCTCATAAAAATGTCATAATAATATTACATTAAAGAGAAAAACTTTACGTATAACCAAGGAAGCTACTACCTAACATCACAAGAAATAAAACTATAATAAAAAAATACTTACACCATTTCCTTAAGAAGGCGCTCGTCAATTTAGCACACCACTTGTCACGGCCCTGCATTTTTCTTTTTTATATACCAATTATATTTAAATTTATTTATATAATATTAACACACACAGACACAGCACTTAAATCCTTTCCATTTAATGGTCCGCAAACCACGGCGGTCAGACGCGGACTGAGCCCGACGGCTGCGCGTGCGCACCCTGCGAACAAGGTACACAAATGTCAAGAGATCACGGCTGGACGAGAACGCTCGGGCCTTAACATTATATATCAATTATTATATATATCAGGGTTATATATATAGATATACAGGGTGACTGGTGAATTACTATCGATACTTGAGGACGTGATATTTGACGATCATATATGACAAAATAAAAATTAATATAACATAAATATTAATAAACTACTAAGTAAAGTTAACCAAAAGTTATGTAATTAATTACGCATCGTGTGAACAGCCTACAGATTAGGTATACACACACACTCACACATACGCGCGCGGCGGCGTAGTGTTGTATCAGCACGTCGCCGCACGCGTCCACACTTGAACACTTGGAACGTGTCAACACTTTATTTATTTATACGGAAATTTTGTCAAAAATTAAGTACCTATTTTTTTACATAATTCGAATGAGAATCATGTACCGAGTATCCTCCTTAAATATTGATAGTAATTCACCAGTCACCCTGTATATATTGACAAACGAACAGTTTAATATCTTCATATGAACAACGTCAATAGTATGGTGATCAAATTAGTTCTGTAATTGTGAGTTATAGAAACTTGTTTATTAATTAATACTTATTATAAAAGCTTTTAAAAACGTTTTACAGCCATCTTTACTTGAGCCCCGTGAGGTATGACTGATATATTGAGGTAGGTGTCAAATGTAACACGTATATATAAATGCGTTGATATTTGTATGTTATGACGTCATACTTGTATGTTTTGTAAATAAAAGAAAAAATCATTATTGATAATCTTTAGAACGGCTGTATCCTTGCCATGAGTTCGACGTACGTATATAAATGAAAAACGCCTTACTATCAGTGGCACGTTAAACTATATAATGTAAAATGTATAAAAGTACTGCTAATATTCATATTATAATAAAAAAAATCTTAGATATTAGTAAAACAAATGTACAAAAAAGTAACAATACTAAAACTTTTAACATTTCAAAATATATATAAAATATACATATATTCCAAAAACATTGTTATAATAAATACAATTTTATTAAAAAATACAAATACCTAATCGAAGTAATATTCTATTATAATATTATTCATATATTAAAACTCAAGTTTCTTTACTGGTAACTACAAAATGACTAATTTGAACCTTGAACCTACCTAACTTAACCATTGTACAACGCCGACTCACAGCATACGCTCCACGGCCGATCGTGATGTATTTATTAATTAGATGCGGTTAAAATACCTTCTAGTATAAATAATGAATAATTTTTACATTTAAATAAACAAAATACGAAGACTGAAATATGACTGTGATTTTAAGATATATGTAGAGAGAGAGAATGATCATTTTTCCCAAAGAGGGTTGACGTCAGACAGGCGGCCGGTCGTAAAAACAGTTAGCCAAAACTATTCACAACATGCAAAGCAGACCCTGGCTAAAGCTGGGAAATTACCAGGTAGAAGAAGAAGAGAGAATTATCATCACATTCAAAGGTAGATTCTTATGCCTTAGATGGTGTAGACTATATCAGTAAAAGAAATATAACTATTGCCTTGGAAATATTGAAAATATAAGCAGAAGAAAATACATAAACAGTAGACAGTTCAAATCCTTTATTGCTCTCATGTGGAAGGAAAGACATATGAACACATTTGTATGCAAGGTACGAACCTTTAGACAAAGTTAAATTATCTTCCATGCAATGCAAACATACATTTTTATGAATTAATATTTTTCGTATACTACTTGTTTTTTTTTATTCTATATCTACATACATTTTCGATTCTTTTACATCAATCGTATCAAAACAGTCAAGATGAAAGTCAACAATATTGAAGTAGATAAAACGAGCTCAGAATGGAATGTGTATCATCGTAAATACACTAAAATTATATTTCAAATAAATGAAATTGTATTTTGAGACAAAACAATTAAATACTTCATAGTTTAAGCAATTGTATGACATAAAAATAAATATACGATAGGAACCAAAAAAAAATATTAATTTTATTTTTTTGTGAAAATATCAACTATCTATCACTTTTCATGAGATATTCTTGTTACAGACGGACACACGAACGTTTTTAACAATATAATATGTCTACGGAACCATTCAACAACTGTATAAGACGAGCAAAACCAAGTAAATAACATATAGCAATTATATATTATTACCTTCAACATCCATTTACGAAAGAAACAAATGAATTGTACGGAAGCTGAAACCGACTTTATGTGGCAACGTGTGTTACAAACATACACATGTCCCGACATAGCTCAGGAACCAGCATTAAACATTAGGTATGTATATATACTTTCGGACCCAGCAAACTTTGTTCTGCCATATAAAAAATAGTAGTTGGTGATAAAAAAATATTTTGGGTTGTATGGATTATAAAAAAATAAAAAAATAAGGGTGAACAACCCTTATGAGTTAAGTATGAAAAATAGATGTTGACCAATTCTCAGACCTAGTCAATATGCTCACAAAATTTCCTCAGAATCAGTCCAGCCGTTTCGGAGACGTTCTCTGTGTAACACCGCGACACGAGAATTTTATATATAAGATATATATACCTACTATTATAAGAATCAATTGTACGTATGTACATTGTACATTTATTTCAGCACAAAAAAAAATCTTTTTTAAGTATCAAAATCTGTATTCTTAGATCATGTTATATCCTATCAATAAATGTCAATAAGCAATACAATTAAAATAAAATTGATTATGTATATCTTACAATAAACAATACTTCATAAAAAATGTGAGAAACAATGCACGGAAAGATTCGTATAAAAAGACAAACAGATAAATCATTATATTATATGAATAACTGGTAAGATGATTTAGTGGTAATTACAAATAAGAAAATTGGAAAAAAATATATTATAAACTAGTTTTTGCCCGCGACTTAGTCCACGTTAATTTCATCATTAGTAATATATGTATAGCTGACCGGGCGAACTCTATTCCGTCCTAGAGGCCATAAATAATCAGGTTTTTCCTGTTTCAATCGAACAGAATGATTGACATATTAGTTAGTTGTCAAATCTAATGTCAAAGAAAACATTTGTATGGGAAATAGAAAAGGGCTGTTTTTAGGGTTTTCCCGAAAATGAATCAATTTTTCTCACCTTTTAAACCTTCCCTGAACCTCCACAAACATTTCAAAACTAAGATAAGATAAATCCGTTCAGCCGTTCTCAAGTTTTAGCGAGACTAAGGAACAGCAATCCATTTTTATATATATAGAAGATAGAAGATTATACCAAATAATCTTGTATAAAATAAATAAATAAAAACAAGTCAAAATTTTATAAAATACAAATATTATTCGTCTCATATTTTGGTCTAAGAAATATAAAAACAAAAAATAATATCATTATTTATTAGATGATGAAAAGACAAAAAAAAAATGTCTTCGCCAAAGGTGTGCGTGCGCCGTCTCGATAGAGTGAGCGTGTACCAAATAGAAACGCGGCCACGCCATTGGTCAAATAGTTACGGAGTTATGACTGTACATACATTACGATACATCCGGACAATATGACAATTTCCTATATATATTATGCAATATATATACACATGTAACGATGTACGTAACATACTTCTGAACGAACTACTGGGTCATACGGAATGGATTCAAATTTATTATAATTACTTTATAAAAGACTATATATTTGTTTAAAGTTGATATTTTTTTCGTAATAACTATACCTTTTCTTCTTCTACCTGGCAATTTCCCAGCTTTAGCCAGGGTCTACCTTACATCACACATGTTTTTTTAAATAGTTTTGGCTACTTGTTTTTCGACCGGCCGCCTGCCTGACATCAACCCTCTTTTGGGAATGTATTAATCAGTGAAGTCTAAATATTCTTAGAAAGTACATATTGACTCGAAAAAATCACAATGGTACTTGCCTGGGTCAGGATCGAACCCGCGCCCTCATGCATGAGAGGCGGGCCTCTTAACCACTGGGCCACCACAGACTTTTTCGTAATAACTATATATAAGACTAAAAGCTGTCTGTTTCATAAAATTTTATTACTTTGTTTATTAATTATTGCATTAAGAAAGTGAATTTTCAAGTTATTAGGAAGAAATATTTTTTCATATTATGAAAAAATATATAAATAATGTTATAGGTTTGGTATTTAACACTATAAAGCTAAGGTAAAATACTAATACAAGATTAATTTTTAATAATTACGTCTTAGACTTTGTACTAGAGAGACTTAAAACAAAAACATTTAAAGCTGAATAAAATATACTAAAATTATTATTTAAACATAAATATCTATGTAAAACAAAACCTTAATGATACAAGATCATGGAATATATAATATTCTTATAGGTTAATAAAAAATATATGTATACAGATATATGTAAAACTCATTCAAATATGTATATCCTGATGTTTAGGAGTTCAGTGACATACACACGTACAGAAGAAATATATATATATATATATATATATATATATATATTTATATATAAAAATATAATTTATAAAGCCAGTTCCACACTATCATTTAATTAAGCATTAAGCAGTACATTAAGCATTATAAAAATCCGGCCAATTACTATCAAGGATTGGGCATAATTTAGAACTATTGCATTTCCTTCAATATAGATTTCTTTACCGGTATAAGGAGTACGGCCATCGATATTGTGTAGATCCGGTTTAATGACTTCGAAATATTCAATTCGCTGGCTCACAAGGTAAATATTATCGGTGTGCCTACCACAAGTTGGAATCGTGACTAAATACGTAGCGTTTACAGTTTCTAACGGAAATGAGAAACGTGAAACGCTGAGTTTGTAGTGACGATGCGATTGAAGTC